AAAAAAGAAAAGAAAAAAGAAAAGATAAGAAAAAAATTAAAATAGACCATTCCAGATGGTGATCTACCCTTCCCCCCAATTATCACAAAAAGAGCTATAATCACTAACTTATTCTTAATAATAATGGTTACTGGTACCCTTACAATAATGTACAATCCAATGTTTAAATATTATACCACTTAAGTTTGGTTTGATCCTATAAATTTTCAACAAATGTCTTAAAATTTAAAAGCAGGCTGATTAGTTTGGAACCAGACTACAAGTAGAGCTAACATTTGGTGAATAAGAAAACATCACATTACATTTTGGATGTATGAAAGAAAACTTGACCATTTGAAGATATATGAATAAAGAAATGTACTATAGATACTACTTTAGGAAAACACTGTTTGGTAAGTGTTCCAGTCTGATATTTTAAGTGTGTATTTCCTATACTTGTATAAAAATCTTTGATGTTTGCAACAATACTGTGATTCTTTTAAGTGGATTTCTTTTGCAAGTGAACATGATCATTGAAAGTTGATGTAGCAGTTTCCAGGAAATAAACGCATCTTTGTAGAATGGGGGTGGGGAATTACATATTTATATTTTAAAATTCATCATTTTGATTGCAAGTTGTTTCTGCCTCTCTTGAGATTATAGCGATAATATTAAAAAATCACATTTAAAAAATTACTTTCTTCCATATTGGGGTCTTCACAATCAAAAGCTATTGTTCCACCACCACCATAGTCTTCTGCCACTGGAGTAACTTAAAGGATGCTGTTCGTTTTTCTTCCCCATACACCCCAACTTGGGGTTGAAGTTGTTTATATTTTCTTGATGGTAACACTATTTCATAGGAACGCTTTGGCTTGCAATTTGTGTATACGTTTATGTTTATAATTTCAAAATTAGATTTCAGTTGTCAAAATAGTGACTTTGCTCAGAAAGTCATTATTTTTACTTCTATAGTTAAATCAAAGATCTATTTTTATGTAGTCTCTTGTATGTTGACTATGTGCTATTCTGATTCATTAGGTAAGTTTGTTTTCTTTTCTTTTTAGTAGTCGTGAAAGGTGCCAAATTGGCAGAGGCTCACGTTTCTTCTCTTTACACCAAACAGGTATTATAAAGAAAGTAAATCTTTCAAAGGCCAGTTATATCTCCATACTGATATTTGGCTTTTAATTTGATTAGTATGTTTCAGCCTGATATTTCAAAAATTATAAAAATTCCCTTATAATGTAACTGAAAACACATATTCTATTTCAGTCCATGAATAGCTAATCAGTTTTCCTAGCCTAAAATTTCCAAGTAACTTAGAACCTAAAATGTTTTAAGCCATGTTACTTTGAGTGAATCAGAAGACAAATATGTTTCAGTTTGGTCCCAAAGAATGGGGATTAAATCTTACCAAGATTAATTAGATTTACAGATATATTGTTTGTAGTATTAATATGATTCTAATTATAAATATTACTTAGTATTAAGTTGCTACTGAATTTTTTACTTCTTTATAAATACTAGCATTCGGGATGTACTTTCATATTAGGAAGGAATTGTTAATTCTCATTTTACAGATAAGGAAACTTAGATGAATAGAGATAGAATGATTTACTCAGTCATAGCTAGTGGGTGAAAATAGTACATTTGAATGCAGGCATTCTGATTTCAGTGCCAACTTTTTTTTTTTTTTTTTAAACTCTATGTTGTTGCTGCTTTCCTAATTCTTGATGGAGTGGAACATCAGATTGTGTTTATACTAAATATGGTAGTTCTTACCTCAAAGGCACTACACAAAATTAGTAGACTTCTTGGTCCTTCGCCAGTTCATACTTATACCCTCTCTTTTAATACAGCACTTTGTTCATATCTCTGTTACAGTACTTACATTGTAATATAATTTATCTGGTTTATGTCTGTCTTCCCCACTAGATTACAAGCTCCTCTAGGAAGGGGGACCATGTCTTATTCATCGTTTTATTTCTAGTGCTTATCACAAAGCTAGGCTTATATTGGGCACTCAGATGTTTGTTGGATGAATTAATGAATGAATGCATATTTAAGTCTCCGATCATAGAGTGACAACTACCTCCCTTGTTAATTCTTAATCAATTTTCCAAAAATCTCTTGAAGATCTCCTCAATCATTGGGAGCATTTTGCTAAGTAATTGATACAGTTCAAGTTTGTCACCAGTGGGGTTACAAGTACTGATGGAGTTGCACACGTGTAGCCTTAGTGGAATTTTCACAACATTCAGTAAGGCATTAATATTTTGCGGTAATAAATGTTGTAGTCTGTTTCAGAGGTAAAATACAGTTTTGGTTTCTGTCAGTGTGTATGATTAGAAATGCTAAGATCCACCAATCTAGTCCATCCCACTAATTTTTATATCCAAAAGTGACCTAGTTATAGAATACTAGACAAAGTTTATAAGAGATTTAGCTTTTGGTCCCAATCCTGCAACTAACTCTGTGGCCTTAGACAAGTCTCTTGCCTTATCCAGGGTTGTTTCCTTGTCTGTAAAATAAAGAGTTGGACTAGATGATTTCTAAGATCCGTTTTACATCTATAGTTACCCTGGTGCTATATTAGTGTTTGATACAAAACAATTTAATATATCTAAGACAGTTCTTATCTATTATCATTGTTGTTTTCTATCATTTTATCAATGCAAAGAACTTGAATTTGGTTTTGGTAATTTATATGATGCCTCTTGGTACAGTTTTGTATTTAATATTCCTACATGCTTACATTTGCCAGCACAAATTACATTTAAGCCTATAAAATAGAGATGAACTTCTGTATTCACTAGCACTTCCTTTTCCCAGTTGTAACTTTTTATTTTCCTTCTAAAATTCAGAGTTTGAACATAGAAATACTTGTTAGTAATGCACATACAGTCCGTTCTCTCAACAATATGGATTTAAATTCTCCTTTCCATCTGAGTTTATGCTTTAAAAAACAAAAACAGCATGCTACCTAAAACTAAACACACATTTTTAATTCTGCAGCTCTCCTAACAGATTGTTTTGCTTTAGTACAGACCTGAGCTGCAGGCTGAGGAATTGGAAAAGGATTGAGGACAGCAATATAGGTAGCCTCTTCATACAGGAAAAAATTGAGGAACATTGTATATTACTGGTTAAAAGATTGATTAGGATTATCTCAAGGGATGGTTAAGTTGTCGTTTTACATATTTCACCCAATATTTTGTATTGCTACTTAAGCAGTGTTGTTTTAAATGTTATCGGATAATTGTAACATATCAAATTAAATTTTATATTTAACTGATACCCAAGCATTTGATGAAAACATGTTGCAAGAATGGGAAAGTATTCCATAGCGTTTGTTTTATTGTGTTACGATTAAATGTGATAACTAATAGTTTACTATAAAGATAGGACTTCAGTGTTTTACCTGATTTCCTGTAGAAAGTGTGACTACGTTTAATTGAAAGAGATGTCTTCTTGCTAGAACTGATTTTGGGGGACTCTATAAAAGAGTTTCGACCACTCTTACTTGGAATACTAACCATTGGCTATAAGCGTTCAAAAAGGAAGCAGCAGTTGCTTGTTTGGTGTGTTGAAATATGTCACTGGCTATTTTAGAGTAAAGAGCAAACTTTATCAATATGTTTTCTTTCTTTTCCCCCCTTAACCACAATGTAGACTGATAGAAAACTAGTTTTAGTTCTTCTAGAATTTAGATAAATGTTGTAAGCTCCACCCAAAACAGAAACAGACACACACACACACACTCTTTCTCTCTCTCTCTCTCTCACACACACACACACACAAAAGTCTGTTAGCCTTTTAAAAGAAAAATTTCCTGCATGAAATTTTGGCTTAGTTAACTTTTTGGTCTTTCTCTTGGAGCTTTTCCTGTTCTTATAAAATAGTATAAATTAAAAATGGAAATTTAATGGAGAATTAAATTACTAGTTTACGATATTTGTACGACAAGAAGAAAATTTCCTTTTCCCAGATCTCAGGAACTACCTTGTTCCTGTTAACTTCTTGAGCTGGCTAATTGCTCTAAGGTATGTATACAGGCCTTTGGAGAAGAGCAGTCTTAAATTTTTCCTTTCTGATCATTATATACCTATCAAGATGACAAGAGATAATTTTCCAAAGTTGCTACCTAAAAATCCTAGGAAAGAAACTTTGGTGAACATGACTGCCATTGCCAATAATTGCTAATGAAAAACATCACGCTTAGTAGAAAAACACCTAATTTGGTAATGACTTTATTGAAGTTTATCCGTATCATGTGCTTGTTACTTAATGTAATTAAAAGGATTTTAAAATTCTACTTTTTTTGTATCCACTTTTTATACTTGGTGTTTCCTAAATTCTTCCCTCACTGTTTATTTCATCCTTGTAGTCATTTTCCCATCATCCACAATTAGCCTTTCCTTGTATACCAGGCACTAATTTCGATGTGTACCTTTTATTTTTGCTGTGGGCCTTTGTGCATAATATAGCATTTTACTTTATATAGTGTGATTAATGATATGGAGTTTAAGGAAATTAGATGTATCTTGCAATTACTTTGAAATCTTTGGGAAAGCTTAAGAAAATTGTTTCTGCTTTCATTTTGTTTACAACGTCTTGTAATTTGTTGATTACTTCTTAAAATTTCTCTGCCTACCCAAATCTCTATGAAAGTTTTCCCTATGATCAGTTACTAGTTTTCGTAACGAAAACTTTAGACCGTAAGATATGTTGCATGCTGTAATCTTTTGCAGCTTAATGTTTGAAGGAAGCATGATGCAGAGAAGTTTTGTTAAAATCATCTTAGCCCAAAGCTTTGTGGAATTTGCCTGCAACTTTGATTTTGATTCCTTTCCCAGATAGTTTTTTTTTAATGTTTAGAAAAGTTGGAGGTCAATTTATGATGTGATTCAAGTTTTAGATTTATTTGCTATTTTCAAAGTTTTTTTTTTAATAGTCTTCTCTTTTTCCAGCAGAGAGAGATCATCATTGCCTGAATTTAGCTTTGTGACTGCGAGAACAAGACCAGTTCCTGTCTGGAGACGACTGTTATAATAATACCATCCTATTATTTTATGTTCACTCTTTATCAATTTGAACTGATGTTTACATGTACTATAATTAGCATTTTATCTCTACAGTTTGCTAAGAGTACATCTGAGTTTAAAGTGTATCTGAATGTGTGCTCTGACCTTATTCTTAGGTGTTTTCTCCCCGTACTTTATAGCCATTTATTTTTTAAACATCTTAAGAAAGAACGAAAAAATTCTCTTGGATGACATATATTCAGTCTGAGCCAAATTGAGGATTGTGTCTAGGAAATCTGTAAAGCCATGCTACTGTGTTCTTTAGCATGAACAATTTAAAATGAAAATGAATTAAAAAGTTAAACGTGAGTTTGGTTTTAATTTTGGGGGGTCTTAAGATATATTTCTGGGAGTAGGATAAGCACTTGAAATAATTTTGAATCGATCATAAAGTACTTTTTTTTGTACTGTAATAGCTTGTGCATTTCTTCTAAATATACTTTCTGATGTTGTTGCTAAGGCCATTTACCCAAACATTTTTTTAAAAAATTCTTAGCTCTTCAAAGCCAACAATGAAAATAATTTTCTTCCAAGTGACAAATGATCTGTGGATTATAAATATTTAAAAAATCTATTAAATGTCTTAACATAATTTTTTCACATTTTTTTGACTTTCAATCAAGACATCAAAGACTATTTTAAAGCAAGAGGAAATAGTGTTGTGTGCCTAACATTGGTAAAGACTGGTTTTTAACCATTTTAAGAAGTGTATGTCCAAATCGTTTATAAAACAGTATGGCTTAATATGGCTTAGAATTACTTATAAAGAATATGATTAAATCTCATCCTAAATATGTACTCACAATATCCCTTTTATAATGGGCATCATAAGAAATGTTTTAACTTAGTTTCTGAGTATTCCTTCATAGATTCTCAGGAGGCATTTAAGAAGTTGGAAGCTATGTTTGGTAGTAACTATATTAAAAAAGTTCAATTTACACTGATTTTTATTCACCCTTATTTTTTATTTTTATCCAACCATACTCACTTTGTCACTTCTTTTTTGTGTGAAGCTGAATAATCTGAAAACTTTTCTTTCCCCTTGAGTATGCATTGCATTTGTCATCATGAAAAGTAAAAAGAATGTAATTAACCCATCAGCCATAATGTAAATTATCTGTTTTGATCCACATTGGTTGGACAGAGCATGGTTAATTCAAGTCTTGGTTAAAGAAAAAGTACATATTTTGGAAAGTCTTCTAATATACTTAGGACCTAGTAGCTTACCAGGCTTTTTTTTTTTTTAATTGTTAGACTTTTGGTTAACATTTTACAAACTAGCTGCAGGGTGTTCATAAACACTTTCCCAAATTTGTTGAGTATTTTACATTGTGAACAGAGAATTTTTTGTCCCCACAACAGTGGTTTGCTGCGAGGATAAAGACGTTTGTCTGAAGACACTATACTTGGTGTAAACATTATTGATTGGTTAATGGATATATGGACCACATACTACTACTTGCAACTTTGTCATCCTGGTGTTTTCGTTTGCTTTGGGTTTTCATTTTTTTGGTTTTAAAATTGAAAACAAAGCAAAACAAAATTGAAGATGCCATTGAGAATCAGAAGTCAAGATGATTTGATTCTCACCAAGCTAACTGTGCTTTTTGAAAATTGCTGTGAGATCTAGTCAGTTACACGTTTAAAATCCCCATGTGTTGATTAATTAAAGATAAGGTTTTCATTATTTTCCTAAATAGGATTCTCATGGAGCTATTGTAGATAACTGTACAGAATCACTTTTGTGTAATTGATTGAAGCGATTTACCTCTGCATGATTGCATAATGAAAGCCTTTTATACATCTTTATATTTTTCAATATACTTAGATTTTACACTGTTAAGCTGCTCTAGTCATGCTATATTTTTTTTAATAGAGTTTATAAATGTTTATGCTCAAAATACAGATCAACTGAATATTTTTGGTCTTGTTTACAAGATAAATGATACTTTAAAATGATACAGGCCCCTCAAGTGTCTTAGGAAAAAGTCACTGGTGCTATGAAACCTTTCAGTATCATTTTTGAACCCATTGTCGAGACTTTGCTAGGTTTTAATCTGATTGCTTGTGATTTATTGTAACCTGGCAGCATAATTATAAAAGTGGTCTGTGCTGAGTCAGATAAAGAGCCCAGCCTGTTAGAAACAATCATAATTTAAGAACATGATGCAGAATGACCACACACTTATTTGTGCCGAGCTTCCCAAAAAGAAAACTGTTAAGAAGGCAGTTAATTTGGCTAGAATCCAAAAATTCATTCAGCACGGCTTTCTCTTATTTCAAATGAAAACTTTTCCTAGTACTAAAATACGTAATTCTGCTTTGCTTTCAATTCTCATCTGTCCTTCACTCAACAGGAGGCATCATGATTCCTAAATATTTACGGAACAGTTTTTGAATTGTAAAGAGTTGTAGTATTGCATTGTAGGTTTTTGCATTGATGTGTCGATTTTTTTGTTTTGTCCCCAAGATTTCCTTCCATCACCTTAGTGAATGTTCATATGATAAAATGTTTTAAGTATCAGCAAAACATCCATGGATGCCTGCTTTTGATTCTCAGAAGCCTAAACCTGTTTTGGGTCTGATGTTACTTCAGAACATATTGTCTGGCACAAGAATTCTTCTAATAAGTGGTTTATTTTAACTCAATTTCAGTGGACTGTTGAAAAACACCAAAGGAGTCTTTTTCTTGTCTGGAGACTGGATTGTTCCAGATGTAAATACCTGTGCCCATAAGTATCCCATTTCATGAATATGTGTTGGTTGGTATAGGGAAAACAAATTCCCTGCTCTTTGAGTGGAGCGAAAGCAGTTGGTTAAGCTGTAGCAGCTATTATTTTTTTAAAGTGATAATAAAACTTGAACTGAAAAAAGATAAAACTTGAACTAGAAAACTACTCGTACGCTTAGAATGTTTATAGTATTAAATGTTTATGTGGGGTTGTCAACATTTTTTATTATTTATAGTTGAATTTTGTTTGTTATCCATATTGTTTATTTTTATATTTTGAAAAATTTTAAAATAAAATAGTCTTACTAAAAACAATTAATGTTTTAAAATTGTCCTACATCTTGCATTAGTTATATTAATTTAGAAAAAAGTTGCATTCATTAGGCATTACATAGTTGAGAATTCTGAAAATGTTTATATGAAGAAATGACTCACATTTCATCTTCTCTTTACTCTCCATTGTCAGTTGTATGAAGTCAGTTTTGGCACCAGTATGTCACTGGCTTAGTGACTCCTCCTTTCACACATACACAAATCCTCATGACCCTTCCCCCTAATCCCTGACTCCTTTACTGCTTGAAATTTTCTCCTTATGCCACTTGGCAGCCAAAAAGTTCTCTTGATCATAAGGGATAAGTATAAAAGTACTATTGATGTTAAAGAAGGCATGCCATAGTTTCTGAAATGAAATTAGATATAAAGTGCTTATAATATCAATTCCCAAAGCCATTGAAAGTTTTCAGAACCTCTGTAATTTTCACGGTTTTCATCTGAACCATCCCCTCCCTGATCTGATTTGGCCTCCTTTTCCAGCATTCAGCATGTTCATTTCATATTTAATAATTTTATTGAATGATGAATTTGCATTATTTCAGTTTTCATTACACATGTATCTTCTGTCATCTGTAACAGGTGGTAACTTGTGACACTGCTTCTGCAAGAAAATACATTCTCATCAACATGCGCAAATTTTGATAAAAATTTAAAGATCTAGTGAAGTAGAGGACTTTGGTCAGTAATGGTACAATTATTTTAAAAAGTTGTATGTGGTGTGTACATACACTCAGACATGTATGGCTATCCCCTGTGGGTTATTTGCAGATAAAGCATGTTGTCAGTCTTAATCTGAAAAGTATTTCCGCACAAATAGTGAATTTTCCCTTTTTTTTTTTTTCAATCACGTAATATTGTGGAGAAGCTAAAATTTTTTTAAAGCATAGTATTGTGATAGCCTGTCATTTATAAATGACCTCCAGATATTTCAAAAATGGAATTATATAATTTTTACTGCTTTGTAGCCTTTTTTCCTTTACGATATTGATACTATTTTTAACAGCCCCTCCATTATTTGAAGATGAATCAACATAATGAATCAATTCTCATTTTGGGAACTTAAGGCCTTTCTACTTTTTGGTGTAAACAATGCTGTGAACATCATACCTTTGATTATTCATGATATATTCTCAGAACTTCATGGTCGATATGTAGAGTTTTTAAAACTTGTGATACATTTTGAATTTTATCTTTTACAAAGGCAATAATATGTACAAATATCTAAGTACAATAATTTAGCTTTGTGAACAGCATAAGCTATTTTCTATGAAAAGTAGAACTTAACTGAATTTATTTGATATTCATAACAAACCAAATTATGCCTAATACAGTATTTAAGCTCTGCTGCAGTAGTGACACTGTTACTGGTACTTTCCACAAAATTATCAGGATTTTATATACCATAGCAGATTTTTTTTTCTTGATACTATAGATGTTTTATAAGTTTTCAAGTAACTTTTGTAGTCTCATAATTAGCCTCTTGAAAAGTATGGAAGATAATACCTATTTTTATTAAGTAAGGTAAAATAAGTGGCAGAATCAGGACTAGAATTTTCATTTCTCAAACTGTATTTACTATGAGAATTCACAGAGCCGCCAAACAACAACTAACAAAAAAAACTCCCAATTTTTAATCAACACTACAACACCTTTTCTCCAGAAAAGCAATTTGTGTTTCCCCGTAAAGTTTATACTAATGTACACAAAGCATCATTGGACTATGAAAAGAATAAAACTAGATAATGGGAAAATAGTGGTTCTTTTTTTGTTTGTTTGTTTTGAGACGGTGTCATTCTGTAGCCCAAATTGGAGAGCAATGGCATGATCTTGGCTTGGCTTGCTGCAACCTTGACCTCCCCGGGCTCAGGTGACCCTCCTGCCTTGGCTTCCCAAGTAGCTGGGACTATAGGCACGCACCAGCACGCCTGTCTCATTTTTGTCTTTCTTGTAGAGATGGTTTCGCGTATGACCCAAGTTGGTCTCAAACTCCGGCTCAAGCAATCTGCCTGCCTCAGCTTCCCAAAGTGCTGGTATTACAGGTATAAGCGGCAGCGGCCAGTCCGTTTTTGAGAGCATAATTCACTTCATGGGAAAGAAAATGTCCTGCAAACCATGAATATTTTGGTTAGCTAATTATATAGTGGTTGTGTTTTTATTAAAATGGAAATGGGAACATTTTGTACACGTATGACATTACTTTCAATATTCAAGGGTTTGCAGTACTATGACAGTTTTCCTAACTTCCCAGTCGTTGTTTCACTTTACAAATCTAAGATGTGTATTACTGAAGCAGTAGTACGTTTTGTATTCAGTGCTCTGAATCATGATACTGATTATCTAAAATAGTATGCAGTGAATTGGGGGGGATTTTAAATTTAGGACATAGGTGAATAAAAGACCATTTCATACTTCTGATTTTTGAGAAGAAAAAGTACAAGTCATAAAAAGCCTTTGAAGTATTCGACGTTTTTGAACTTTTAATGTTAAAATGTTTTTATTTATCCCAAAGATATAAATCAAATTTTTCTGGAAATACAGGTGAATAATTGTATTATCAAGGACATTTCCAAACCAGATTTTTGTTGGTTGGTTTGTTTTTCGAGACGGAATCTCACCGTTACCCAGGCTGGAGTGCAATGGTGCGATCTCAGCTCACTGCAACCTCCGACCCCTGGGTTTAAGCAATTCACCTGCCGCAGCCTCCTGAGTAGCTGGGATTACAGGCGTCTGCCACTACACCCAGCTAATTTTTTGTATTTTTAGTGGAGACGGGTTTTACCATGTTGGCTAGGCTGGTCTTGAACTCCTAACCTCGTGATCCACCCACCTCAGCCTCCCAAAGTGCTGGGATTACAGCCCAAACCAATTTTTAAAGCTTGTTGTCTATAACTTCAGACTTGTTGTATTTCTTGTATTTGTAAATTGGAAATGTTAAGAAATACCCCAAAATTATAGATGTTTATAATTTTGGAGTTAGAAATTGTCAAAGTAGTTGAATATGTAATGTTCTAATTTTACATTTTTTTATCAACCTAAGAGCAGAAATTAAGGAATGATAGGAGACTTTGGCACGTAACAGTGGTTATGTCTGAGGTAATTTTTAAAAATTTCAAAAAGGCAACTCTTGGCAAAAAATAGCCTTTGGTTACTGATCTGATTATTAATTATGAGCCCTCATCTGTCATTTGTCATACTAAATGAATACTATATATTAAAAATTACATAGAATCTTAACCATTTTTTGATTAATGGAAAGAATAAGGGGCTTGTTTGTCAAGATCTCCACTGAAGCAGAGAAAATCCTTGATTTGGGTTGCTTACAAAAGAATAGAGCCATCTAAGGTGTTAAAGATGGGAAGAGGAGAATGGGTGACAGATTTAATCCTGCATTTGTGAATGTTCTGTTTTAGGTTAGAAACTACCTGGAAGCAAGTAGTCCAGTTTGCCTTTTTCTCCAACTGATAAGCTTTATTGATCATCAAGTGACATTAAAACTTCATAGAAAAGGGTGCATCCAAGAGCACATCTGTTCAAGGTCTCTCTTGTGTTCCCTGTGGGGAAGCCTTCAAAATAGAGGTAATGATCAGCAACCTGAGTGGGTATGAAGGTCCCCTTTTTTCTTTCCTGCCACAAAAGTAGCACAGTTTATATTATTACATATGGGCATAACCATACCCTTTGACCTAATGTCAAGGTTCAACATTCCAAGATTTTTGCTATGCCATATTTACATAACTTACCTGTGACCACTCTTGCCCAATTATACCTGGCAGTTTTCCCAGTGTGTGCACATAGGGCCTTCCTGTGTGCAGATCTAACTATGGTTGACCACAGCATGCCTCCAGATTTTATGGCCTTAAGAAGGGTTGGGGGAGGGAGGGAAAGGTTCCTGCCCAAAATTTTACTAGACCATCTGGTCTCATATTGGGATTCTATGTCAGGTTTTATTTGATTGAAGGGATTTATGGTTTTTAAAATATTGAAAATCAGTGTTCTTTACCACATTTGTATCCCCAAGCTTTGGTATGTTGGACTCTGTCTCCAATATACCCCTTATCAGACTCTCATCCCACCATTGTTTTTTAAAAGTGTGAAGGACATGTATCTTATAACCATTAAGGAAGATGAGTTTATAATTTTAAATCTGCCCCTAAAAAGAAATTC